TCTCCCAGCAAAGCTGCCCTTGACAAATCAACTGCTAATTCCTGCACAAAAACACGAGAGAGAGAGAGAGAGAGAGAGAGAGAGAGAGAGAGAGAGAGAGAGAGAGAGAGAGAGAGAGAGAGAGAGGGAAGTTGACAACTGCTAAACTATTAAAACCTTCAATACCAACCTACTTGTTAATACCAGCACTTCTGTCCAAGATAAGCCTCAGAGAAAACTGCAGCAAGTTCAACAGCATGCACAAGACACAAATCCTAAGCCTTATAGCCAACCCTGTCCCCAGTCTTCTCATGTCGCACTTCAAAGTTTGGCCACCCCCTCTTCCATGTGGCAGATGAATAAGCGAAAGGGCGAGAGCTAGCAATGGCATGTCATAAACTACAAAACTACGATTAGTTGAACCGTCTCAAGGGAGCGAAAGGGCAAGAGCTTGCAATGGCATGTCATAAACCACAAAACCACACGATGACGGTTAGTTGAACCGTCTCAAGGAGCGAGTAACCACCAGTACATGGCCGCAGCAAAATTGAGAGTCACAACTGAGCCTCTCCGAAAAAATCGGAGGCTCCGGGCAACCTGACCAAAATGGCTGGCGGCGCCAGCCAAAACAAAAACGAAAATGTGGCACTGGCGTTTCGGCAAAGCTTGGTGCGCAGGGGGAATCCGCTTCGTACAAAAGAGGCCCAGATGTACTGATGGTTTAAACCATCACCGTTTATCTATCCTCAAAGGGTGAAGACATATAGCACTGGCACTCCATGAAACTCTGCCGGCCCAGTGGAGTGCCCGGCTTTTTCTGCCCCATTACACGCTAACCAAAGCCACTGTCAGCTCTGTGCAACAGGCTGGTACAGATCAGGCAGCGATCTGTATCAGGACGGGCAGACGTCCACATATATGCATCACCTCTTTTCCTCGACCAACCCCGGTTTTTGGGAGCAACCTCTGGTTTTGGGCAGCAGGCTGGGCGGGGGGGGGGGGGGGGGGGGGGGGTGTTACTGTTATATTTAGCAATTCTATCACCCTCCTGTGTTGAACATACGCAACTACGACTCGTGATCGGTGCAGTTTGATGACAGGAAGCTGCACATCACAATTGCATGACATAGCATGCAACACGCAGAGACAGGCGCACACTCCTTGAAGGCGTGTATCACTCGCACTAGGAGTTTTTCTACTGAGCTCTGGACGTCATTGCGGTCAGATTCATGCACCGCTGGGCCGTAATTGCACTCAGATGCATTTAGGACAGTGGCTGTGTGAGTATCCCCTGAGTTCTGCCACTATTGCACGTTGCCTCCAAGTCGCATCACGTGGGCCTTTTTCTACCATTCAGGTTCCACCATAAGTGATGGGTGATGTACAGGGCACTCGCTCCCTTGCAGCGGCGGTAGGCAAAACTCACATGTTCTGGAACAAGAACACCGTTTGAGCAGAGACTGTTGAAGGGCCCAGTGCATGCCCTTGCCATATCAGAACAACGGGTTCGATTTGCAGGAGAGGTGTGAGAAAAACTAGAGCGCACACCGGGACGAGGAGTGAGCGGCAAGTACACAGAAGGTCGTGGAAAGGAAACAACAGTTTTCTTTTTTCTTCAGGCGCCGGGGGCGGGGGGNGGCGCCGGGGGCGGGGGGGGGAAGGGGGCAAGGGGGAGCAAGGGGGAGGGGAAGCGTTGGGCCTATCACCAACTTAAACTCTTCCGCTGACTGCAGAATTGATTGCATCATTGCACAGGCTCTTGTTAGGAGTGAGGAGTGAGGAGGTAGGGAGGGGAGGGCAAATGTTGGGCCTCTCACCAACTTAAACTCTTCGGTTGACTTCTCGACGGACGTGTAGGCAAGGTACATCAACGCGCTGCGATAGAATGCGGCGTAATCTTCCCGCAATTTGTTGTGTTGCGTGGCTACCCAATGCACGGCGGCATGGACCGTCGGATCAAGGTCGGTCATGCTGTCGAGCGTGCTCTTTCCTTCCTCGATAAGTTGCTTACAGGCCTTCTCATCTCCTCCCTGAAGTTTCAAAGAAGCAATCTGCATCTTGACATAGAGTATGGGCTCTTCGATACGCCGTTCTTTGGTGGCTCGCAGCTTCTCGACTACCTGCTCCAGAAAGTGGACTGCAACCTCCCTCTCCTTGTATTGATTCGAAACAATAACTGCAAAATGTGCAAGCTTCAGGGGATTGATCCTAGTCTCGAAATCCACAATGAAGTTGTGGTAAAGCTCTTTTAACAACTCACCATCCTGGTCAGAACCGGACAAAAACACGTAAACACAAGCCACACAGACAAACCAAGACAACAACTAAAACAGATAAGCAAGCGGTAGATCGTTTCCGAAGAAATCACCGGACACGCAATCAGCAACCAAAAAATAAATATAAATAAAAACAATCACACACACACAATCACAACAAAGGCAAGAAAGCAAAGTCGTTGGTTGTGTTGCTTTCTCTGTCTGGCACGGCACAGCACGCGGCACGGAGCACGCGAACCGAGAGGCAGACAGAGAAACTAAAACAATCAAGGAAGGAAGAGAAGCACGAGATAACATTTATGAAGAGAGGAACTAATTAGACACAACCAAAACACATAACAAGGTAAAAATTGTTTGCTTTGTCTGGCCCGGCACGGCACGGCATGCGTCATGCAAACCCGAAGAAATCATCGGGGACACAACCAGAAATTAAAAAAAAAAAAAAAAAAAAAAAAAAAAAACCAATTCATTAGCACACCAGCAGAATAGTTATGTAAAAAAAAAGCAAGAAAGCAACACCGTTGGTTGTGTTGTTCTGTGTCTAGCACGGCATGGCACGTGGCATGCGAACCGAGAGCCAGACAGAGAAACCAATACAACCAAGGTACATAAGCACGCGACACCATTTCTGAAGAGAAAAC